CTAATAACACGATCAGAAAGGCTGACTGACAACGAACACAAAACAGAAGAAATCGAAAAAGTTAAAAAAGCTCTTCAACAAAATGGTTTCTCGGATAACAACATCAAGAGAGCATTAAGACCACGCCACAATAGAGAACGGACCGAAGAAGATAAACCAGTTGCCAAAGCACTCCTTCCATATATAAAAGGAACCACTGACAAAATCAGCAAAGTACTGAAGAAACATAAAATTGAAACTGTCTTCAATACCGACAGGAAAATTGGCAACATTCTTCCATCAGCGAAGACGAAGATTCCACTCGAAGGTCAAGGCGTTTACCAGATTCCCTGTGGCGACTGCGAAAAATCATACATAGGACAAACAAATAGAAGAGTTCAAACACGAAGAGAGGAACACAGAAATGCTGTAGAAAAGAATCAGGCAACCTCTTCTTTGGCGCAACATGCGAAAAACACCGGACATAAAATCAATTTCGAAGAAACAAGAATCATTGCCAACATAGAACATAAAACCAAAAGAATTATCAGAGAAGCCATAGAAATCGAAAAACATACAAAAAATCTAAATACACGTGACGATACACAAAGGCTCCCAATAGCTTGGAAACCGATTCTCGCAAACAAAATCATCAGAGCGCGACGCAACGCTTCACCAAGCATGACATCTGACGCACCAACGAGCAGCGAACCGAGGCGAAAACCAGTGAAGGAGAACGCGAAAATAATATATAAAGCAGCAGCAGAGCAGGTAAACACCAGTTCACAACGTATTACACGAAGTAGAACAAAGAAGACTTGAAAATGGCAAGTGTGATCTTGCCGAAACGTCGTCCAGAACACGATTCTATCCAGAATCAAGAAAACCATACGCGGAGAGGAACCCGGAAACATCTTGACAACACATATAATATCCGCGGAAATCTGAAGTTCAACATATATATATATATATATTATTAGTATTAATAGGGAGTACTTCGAAGGTGACTAACGTTATTTTTGGGCCCCCCTTCGTAAATGGTATATATTACATTTTTTGACAAAAATGTTGGTAATTATAATAATTTATTGTCATGAGAATTTCGATTAAGTAGATATCACAAAAGTTAACAGTTTTATGAACAAGATTTCTAATTTTAAATTCTTTACTTCTTAATTAAGTCAATACAAATACTTTATATCCCTTATATCCTAAACCGAATTTTTAAAATATGGCAACAAAGATCTATAATTCAAACAGCATCTCCTGAGTATCTATGTAACAGGAAAAAACTGATAAATGACATGTATAAAGGAGATATATATTTATAAAAATAAAATAATAATAAATACTTTATTAAGAGACCAAGCGATGCAAATAATATTAATTTCATAAAAAGTGTATAATTTCAAATTTACTGTTCAACTTAAAAGGCGAACTTCAGTAGTTCTCATACTCAAAAGTAGAAGAGAGATCCATGCAAGTGAGATAATAGAGACCTAAATCATATGAGGATAATGTAACATAAATAATTATATACAAAAAATACTTATACATATACATACAGGGTGTCCCAGAATAACGTGTACAACCCCGAGGTAACGAGTTTCGGTTAAGTTTATAACGAATTTCCACAAAACTCCAGGAGACGACGTGGACCGGCCACCCTGGGCACTAGGTACCTCGGAGACCGTTGCCGTCGTGATATTCGTGTTCAGCGACCTCAAAAACCCCGAGGTATTGAGTTTCGGCTAAGTTTATAACGAATTTCCACAAAACTCCAGGAGACGACGTGGAAACCGGCCACCCTGGGCACTTAAGTACCTCGGAGACGTTGCCGTCGTGATATTCGTGTTCAGCGACCCCAAAAACCTCCGAGTAGCAAAATTGAACTCATGTTCGTCAAATATTTTCCGAGTTATAAATTTTTGTATATCTTAACTCTTCGAGATGCAATTTTTAAAATGCATTTTTTTATGCACCGATGCAATTTTCATTTCTCATTGGTCACATAGGGTCACAAACTTTCTGGATGCTCTAACGAATCGAATGCAAAAAACCGCATCACCATCCATCTTACTGCACAGATTTCGGAGGTTCAGTGCTTCATTTCCTCGACTAATTAAAAGGTTGAATAATACTGATTTAAATAGACTAAAGGATACCAGCAGATATCAAGAGGAATAAAATTAAGGATATTAGTATTATTATAAGAAAATATTTTTTTAAGTTTGTATTTAGGAATTTCAATATGGTGTTTGCATCTTGTATTCAGAGATTTTATATTATGACCAAATTTAGTTTTTTCATATAAATAAACGGAAATTTAATGATATAATTTCAAAGAACAAACAGGTATTCTGAAAATATCTACGCTGTTTCAAGTTTAACCAGCGAAGGTTTTGAGCTTAGCGAAACATGCAAATAACGAAGTAAACTAAAAATCAATCTTGCACATGAAGTTTGAATTCGTCTTTAATATTGGTGTTTACGATAAAAAATTTTGGCCAGAAATTTACATTTTGGGGAATGATTTTGCTCGCCAAAAAGATCATGTTCTGTCTAGTGTTTTTATTTCTGAAAAATTAATTAGACTCAGTCAGAATCAAATGAAATTATTTTTGTGTAAGTAAAGTGACTTTTTCCTACAACATATCAAAAAATTTCATTAGGTAAAGTGGCCTTTTTTTCTAAGAGCCGCGGAAAATTTTGTTAGAAGTTCATTAGAAGTAAAATTTATATTAATATATCAAATTTAGTGGCAATCGGTTTTACTTTTACAATTTATCAAATTAAAAAATATCAAAATACCTATATCATCGAACTTGGCATATGGATAGAAATTTTATAGTGAATCACTATTTATTTTATCTACACAGAAAATCTATTTTTCCCTCATGACAAGACCATCTTAAATTTTCAGAAATAAAAATATGCAACAAATTATTTTTTAATCATACAGGATCCTTTATTACCTACTAAAAATGTATCAGTTTGTAGTTCACTTAACAAAATTAAATTATTGGTTTACCTATAAAAGACTTCCGCGTTTATCACAGGAAACAATGAGTGATTTTAAAACAGGTGATATTGAAGACTATTCTATTGAACTTGATGGTGTGATCCTCAATAGTATAGGTAGGTACCACTAAAATAAATGAAATAATTGAAGATTTTGATTTTATGGTAAGTACTTGAGTTTCTTGCAAATATTTGCACGTCTGAATATTTTTGTAAAAATATAGACGTGAATAAGACGTTTACTAGAATGAAGTAAATTTGAATCTATTGAACATTACTTTAAATGGAAATTGTTTTTCAAATTACAATAATTTGAAAAGAAATCATAATCTATTATCACTACTGGATGGATATTCCGAAATACCGGAATTGAAAAAGGTCCACCTTTACACTTGTTGTTATCATTAACTAATATTATCATTATCATTATCATTATCATTATCATTATCATTATCATTATCATTATCATTATTATTATAAATAATTGACGTAGGTATTGTTAGAGCTATTTTTTTACTTAACTTAGGTAGTCATTTTTTATTCTAGTTCTGTAAGTGGATTTCCTATTATATCCCATGTACATTAAGTCCATGTCATAATTTAAGGGGGCGATTTTAAGCCCAAAAGCCGTAATAAACCAAGACAATGGTTTCTGAGATAGAAAACTTTAAAATTTTCGAAAAATTTCACATTTTTTCAATTACCTCTAAAGTTGCTTGACGTAGATTGATGAAACTTGAGGAAATGATGTAACTAATCGAAGGTATATTTCTATATTATTTCAGTTTGAATTCTACTTCCGAAACTGAAGTGTCACGTTTACCTTTTCCTGTAATTATTCAAGTAACTGACGTATTGTTAGCACTATTTTTTACTTAACTAAGTTATTTTCTATTATATTTCTGTAAGTGCATCCTATTGGGACTAATCCTGTGACTAATAAATTATTGTTAATTGACTACAGCAACATATGAAAATATAAGAAATATAAAATTAACTTGTACCTAACTAGAAAATATATCAAAAACGGATTTCTGTTTTGACAGCTGATTTTGTTTCAAAGCATTAACAAATCGATATGATTTTCTTTGACAAGAACTGAGATACCAAGAATTGTGGGTTGATAATAATAAATGTTACTTCATAATAATTTTATAAAAAATGTTAAGTTTAATTGAGCAGGGTGATACGAAGTTCTTTGACGCAATACAAAAGAATATACAGTGTAATCAGAAAAAATACGCAAAATAAAGTTACAAC